AACTATTGTAAGGCGTCGTACTAAGAAACTACGCGAGCTATTTGCTTTAATATGTTGCGTGGCCGTCGACGAAAATAAGATAGACACAATTCTAATCGCGGTTGCGGAACAAATTCAAAGCATAGTTTCGCAGAATAAGCGAGTTATTTTGGCTACGTTGGGGATTTCTATCGCCGACATAGTCGAAAATAACGAGCGACTCTACGACGACGACACTAACAACGGCGACAATAATGGACCGACCGACGATGACGACAATCGTCAACGTCGAGTAAAATAAGATTTTCTTACTCGTACCCCCTGAGATGCTGCAGACTTTAGATGGTATCGAAGCATCTACAGACAATTTAGCAATAGATCAACGGGAATCGGTGTTTTACGTAGGCGGGTCCATAGGCTCCATAAAGACGCATCTTTGTAATACGTTACTGACGGTAGTCAGCCAAGTTTTTCGCATAAGTACAACCACGGTAATTTGGACCGCGGTATCACCGCTAATTTACTGATCGACGGCCAAACAGTCCACAGAGCGTTTCAGTTACCACTTACTTTAGACGACAGGTCTGTAAACAGGGTGGCCACTACAAGCCGAAAAATTTCAGTGTTTCAAATATGTCGTTCTGATTATCTGGGATGAGGCCCAAATGGCGCCCGAATTGACCATAAAAGCGGTCGACAGATACCTGAGGCGTATCTACAACTCCCCAAGGACACCGATGGGAGGCAAATGTGTTATCTTTGGATGCAACTCTAGACAGTTGTTGGCTGACACTGTAGGTGACATTATTGAGAATACGTTGAAGTTCAGTTGACGGGAAATATAAGGGCAAGACCTGTACATTTACCGGATCCGCTCCTTGTATGCGACTCTTTCGCCAATTGGCTACTCCCACTAGAGGAAAATATGCCCAACACTTCAAACTTGGAAGAATGTATTTTAAAGGAGAACAGCAGGTTGCAAGTAAAGCAACGGCCAGTAAGGAAAAAGGGAAACCGAGTACACAGTTCTAGAAATACATGACGCAAATTTACATGGTCAAATTATGCTATTGCGAAATTATGCTTTAGCAAAATCTATAAATAATCTGTCACGAAAAGTAAAATAGTTTCTTTATACTTTGTAACTATAATTTTGTTTATAAAAGGAAAATAATTGCTATATGTGTAGTCTATAGCTCCCAAACACCGAGAAAAATTATATTTGTCCATAAGTCCTTGAATAACCATATTTCTTTTGTTTGCAAAATTGGGAAATACAATCCACTGATCCAAAAGGTGATTACAGTTAACACTTGTAAGTTCATCAATGAATGGCTGGTTGATCGCAAAGTTTTATTCTTAACTGCAACCTAACTGAAAGCTTCCAATCGCATAGAAATTTAGACATACAAGAATTTGCTTTTTAAATATTTACCGAGGGTTACTTAAATAATACACAGGATGTTCTCTGTAAAATTACCCCCTCCTCCTATAGCTCTGTTATTATTGAAGACATCATATTTTACACAGGGTGTTTAATAAAACCTGTGACAAACCCGTTAAATGACGCGTAGTATAGAAATGGACCAAACATGTAACTAACATGTATACATTTTTGGATTCAAAAAGAGGTGTAGATTTAAAAAATGTAAAAATATATAGGACGCTCCATTAAAAAATCCGAAGTTTATTTTATCACTAATTTATTAAACACCCTGTATAGAATGTAATACTGTCATAAACAAAAATATAGATTAGATTATATAACTTTTATTCAAAACAATTTATTTCTTCAATAATAAAGGAACACTGCACATTACATAATAATTATTCCATTCTTTGAACCGTTTGATTTTGCCATGGTAATGATCCTTGTGGGCTAATAAAATAGGTTTCAAAGGTATCCCTAACCAAGGCAGCCTCCGTAGATGATCTTCTGGCGGATGTTGAAGCTAATGGCATAAGATTATATGTTGGCAAGTTTGAGTTGTCTGAGTTTTCGTTCGGATAGGAGATTCTTGAATTTCGGAGCATATTATGTAAGATACATGCCGAAATTATAAAGTCATCGGTAGCAGTAGGGTTAATAGCAATTGGTGTAAAAAAAACTCGGAAATACTGGCATAATATACCAAATGCATTTTCTGATGTTCTTCTTCTCCTGCTAAGTCTATAATTGAACACATATTTTGATTGATCGTGCATGGAATCTCTTTGCGAGTAGGGTTTCATTATATTATTTGTCAAGGAAAATGCGCTATCCCCCAACAAAACACAAGGTAATGAAGTCTGAGTTCCTGGAAGAATCATTGGTGGTGGAATGTTGAAATTGCCAGCAGCGATCTGCTTTCCCATAATGGATTTTTCGAATATACCTGCATCTCCTTCTCGCCCATAGGAACCGACATCAATTGCCATGAATCTATATCGTGCATCAATAATTGCTAGCAGTACGATTGAGTGATACTGCTTATAATTATAATAAAGCGATCCAGTCTGCTTCGGGCAACGTATTCTGACATGTTTCCCATCAATAGAGCCACAACAATTAGGAAAGTTCCATAAATCATTGTAATTTTCATACGGTCCTCGGCGAGTTTCGGTATATAAATATGGAGCATTCGATTTCTAATGCTTCGAAGAACTTCCCTAACAGAAACACTAATCCAGCTGTGGCGTTGACGGTACTGAAATGCCAGTGACCTGAATGATTCCCCAGTTGCTAAGTACCTAAAAAATATATATTTTTTTAAATTTCGGAAAAGGCGTGTCAAGTACGTTGGAAAAACATTCGTGATTACTAACAAAAAAAGAAGCGAAAAGAAAAGAATGACAACGGGCTCGGCCAGTAACAGCGGTAATGGTGACAGTTTTAGCAATAAATACAAGCACTTGAGCTTTCTGGACTTGTAGAAAGACAATATAACAATCAATATAAAATATCTTTGCAAAATATTTGACGGTAGCTCTGTTTCAGATCAATAAGTAGCATCAATGGAGACAGTCAATGTTCTAACCAGGAAACACAACATTTGGAATCTGAATCATATGATATATGTGATGAATGATGATCGAAGATCAAGAGCCAGGAGGTTCCCAAGTGGCTTCTGCTACTGAGATTATTTCTACTACCGAAGCTGCTGAAGAACCTGATACAAGTTCTACGTCTACATCAACACGTAAAAAACCGCGAATGTCACAGGAACGGACTGCGGTAGTAGAAGAAATTAAGAAAGCGCGTATTGAAAGAACTAAATCAAATATTTGTTACGGACTGATAAACCTAAAGAATCCGAAAGCGCTGTATCTATGTTCTTCCGTAGTATCGCGGCTACAGTGGAACAGTTTCCTCCAGCATTACAAACCCGAGCTAAAGTTCAGGTAATGAATGTGATTTCGCAGTTGGAATTTGAAAATGATGAAATGAACGTGAGACACATTATTGACTTCCGTTCTCCAACTGCTACTTCACATTCTGACTCATTACATTTTGACCAATTGAGAAGCCCGAGTGCAAGTTCCTACTTACGTTCCTTTACACCGCAAGACAATTTGATGTCACCAGATTCCCCTATTACACATGATGAAATGTAAACATATCTGAAGTTGTATCAAATAAAAGTTTACCCTATTAATTTTTATTTAATTTTGTTTACTACCTAATATTTTTGTATTAATGAAGAACAATTTACCTCAAAGTAATATACAATTTTTCTTTAGCGGAAATAGAACAACTTATCCTATTATTTGGTTTCCAAGTAATATCCTCCCTGGAAATTTCATTTCATTTCGAAATAATCTTCTCTCAACAGTAATATTAAAAGCGCCTTCCGAATTTCGGTACAAAAATAAGTTGTCCACTGACTTATTTGGAGGTTTGTAAGCCTCCAATATCATCTCCTCTTCTGATTCCTGTTCTCTCTGATCCATTCTCTTTATTCACGCAAAACCAAACGCAAATTTGCGGACGAAAAGATATAACAAACTACCCCCGATTCTAGCAAACCATTTCGGACCGAAATCGCCATCCTCGGCGGTTAACGGACTGTCGGTTCTCCTCGACGGATTGCTCGAGGAAACCAAGGCTTTAAGTAAGACTGAAAACTCGCGTGCATTTCATTTAAGTGCAACATATATTTTTATAAAGACATCGTTAACTGTTTCTACATATAAACTAGGCAGTAATAACTATATATAAACGAGAAATTTACACTTTAATCAAACTATAACAATTATGCACAGTGTCTTCGTAAGTACAGTATAACAGTACAGTGCAGTATACAGTATCTTCGTAAGTGTAGGCAACTAATATAATATACAGTGACAATGAAAAAATTATGTTATTACAGATATAATTATATCTCATCTGTTATTGAAACAAAGCGAGTATGTTAAATTTTATGAAGATTTCTTATTTATTCAGTAATCTATTTGAGCATTGTTATTTTCAGAATGATTTAGTATTTGTTATATAATTGTGTTTAAAATCTTCTGGTTTCCCACTGACATATTTCAACATAGCGCGGTCACGTGCCTCATGCGTTATATTGTAACTAATTTGATATACAGTGGTTATGAACAATTATATTATTTAGGTAAATAATAATTATTCAGTATTAATTTTATGAGGATTTCTTTGTTCGAAAATCTGTTTGAGCAATTAACATTTTTAGGATCATTTAAATGTTTTTAGGTTTGATCTTCAATCTAACGCTCTCCAATTTCCACTACAGTTTAGAAAAATNGAAAATTTCAATTTATGAAGAATTCCTAAGAAAAAGTGTGTTGTTATTTAGGTTTGATCTTCAATCTAACGCTCTCCAATTTCCACTACAGTTTAGAAAAATGCAATGATTGTTAAACACGAGGGGGATTTAAAAATAAGGTTCCCAACGCTGTAAGGAAGGAGAGATGTTGAGCGAAATCCGCCCACACCGCCATAAGCGGCAGTTTTCCCAGACCAGATCCTGACCTTGAACGCTTCGCTGTGACTGTCAGTATTGGCTTGACAACCATTCGCGATGGAGCCCGTAATTTCTGTCACCGCCAGATGTGAAATTCGTGCTGTGATTAGACTTTTGCACGCGAAAAAGTTAGAACCTATAGACATTTATCGCCAATTGAGTGAAATTTATGTTCAAAAGTGCATCAGCGTTCAACACGTCCGCAAATGGTGTAGGGAGTTCTCGAACGGTTGCACAGACATCCACGACGAAAAACGAAGCGGAAGGTTGTCAATCTCAGATGAAACTGTTGAAAAGATTGAGCGAATTTTGCTCGAAGACCGAAAAATCTCGATCAAGGAAATGGCTCTTCGGGTTACCGAGGTTTCCGAAGCTTCCACCAAAAGGATTTTGACCGAGAAATTGGATTATCACAAGATTTGTGCGCGCTGGGTTCCACACATGCTTACAGCAGAACAGAAACAGCAACGGGTCGACTGTGCCCATATGTGTTTCTTCAAGAATGCATCGAAAACACCGAGGAATTCTTAGACTCCATTGTCACTGGTGCTGACTACGTCACTCCCGAAACAAAACAACAATCTCGACAGTAGCGCTATCCAATTCGCCGAAACAGAAAAAGTTTAAGCAAAAGTTGTCTGCAGTCATGGCTGTAGTGTTTTGGGACAGTAAAGGTGTTTTGCTTACGAGTTTATGTCTAAAGGGACCAGAACTCAAGACAGTTATTGCGAGACCTTAAAAAGTCAGAAGGGGTATCCAAAATCGCCGAAGAGGAAAACTAACCTAAAGCATAAGGCTGCACCATGACAGTGCGAGCCCGTACGTCTCACCTCAATATTCTCATATAGACAATACTAGTGGCATCACTTCATAAGTCTCATTATTTGTTCTCTACAATGGATTTTACAAAACTTAATAAACAGTCACTTTTAGCTTTCAAACCAACAAAGTCCATAAAAGAACTGGGGTTGAAAGAAAATATTCATCTTTAAAATTAAAAAAGTGACAACAAGTATAGGGGAAAGCTAAGTAGCAGAGTTGAACGAATATCAGGTGTTCCTATCCAGTCGACTAATGAGAGAAATAAATCATTTACACGAATTTAAAGATAACCGATACAGCATTGCCAGCCGTGGTGAGAAAAGCATTGATACATTAAATTTTTCAAAAACCGTTGCCTTGGATAATTATAAATAATAATATAAGTGACGATAATATACAGGGTGTTAGGGAAATGATTCTCGTAACTTTATCAGGCGATTCAGTATGTCATGCCAAGCAAAAAAGTTTATTACAACATAGGTCCTAAAACCAACCGTTTTCCAGAAAATTAATAATAAACTTTCAATTTATCAGCGGTAAATCTGCCTCAAATAGCAAATCTGTGTTTAAAACATTAATGATTTGCATCTAAGTTATCATTATTTTATTGTTTAGTTTTAAAATTACACTTTACATCCAACTACAATGAACATTTGTTAAATAAAAATAAATAATATTGTAGGGCCTGAGACATGGCAATGCCGCATAGGTAGGTACACCAGTGCGACCGTACTTATGATTTATTTGCGAATCAATCAACACGCCCGCGCTGTCAAAAATCCACTTTACAGTTATTTCTTAATTTACATGTCGGTCTGTTGTGTTGTTGTGACAAGCTAAGTAAAATGTATTCTGTGCGTGAATATCACGATATGCTTCTTATTTATGGAGAAGCTCGGTGTAACTCTCAACGAGCAAGACGTATTTATGAACTACGGTTTCCTGACAGACAGTTACCAGCTCCTGAAACATTTGTAGCAGTCTCCCAAAGATTACTTGAGACCGGTAGTGTTATCCCAAAAAATGACAATCGCGGCCGCCAGCGAGAAATCGAAGTGGAAACGGAAGAACAAATTTTAGAATTGGTAGCAACAGATTCCAGTCGCAGCACTAGAAGTATTGCTCGTCAAGTCGGAGTGTCTCATTGGAGTGTACACAGAACCTTGAAAGAACAGTTGTTGTACCCATATCATGTTCGGAGAGTTCAAGCCCTTTTACCAGTTGATTTTCCTCCAAGAGAACATTTCTGTAGATGGCTCATTAACAAGAGTGAACGAGATCGCAATTTTGTTTCCTGCATTTTGTCAATAGATGAGGCTTGTTTTACGCGCAGTGGCATTTGGAATTTTTACAATGCACATAATTGGGCTGAAGAAAATCCCCATACTTATTGTGCAAAGGAATAGGCAACATCAATTTTCTTTTAACGTTTGGGCCGGTTTAATAGGTAACTTCCTCATAGGGCCTTTTATTTTACCACGTAGATTAACTGGTGAAGAATATCTAGCTTTTTTGACGAACAATTTACCAGAGTTATTAGAGGAAGTGCTAATTCAAACACGTTTAAGTATGTGGTATTTACACGATGGGGCACCAGCTCACTCAAGTCGTGCAGTAGTGCAGTACCTAAACAACACTTTCACAAATAAGTGGATAGGCAGAAATGGTCCACATCGCTGGCCGGCGCGATCACCGGATCTGAATCCATTGGATTTCTTCCTTTGGGGTCATATGAAGAATATCGTGTATTCCTCCGAAATTGAAAATAATCTTCGAGAACGAATTTTTGCAGCAGCCGATCAAATTCGTAATACGGCAGGGATTTTCCAACGAATTCGTGAAAACTGGATTCGCAGGTGTCGGAGTTGTTTAGATAGTGAAGGCAGACATTTTGAACATTTATTGTGAAGTGTTTAGAAATAATTAGTAATTCTTAGTTGTCTGAGCTGAAATAAAACGAAAGAACTCAAGTGAACTTAATTTTTTAAAATTTATCTGACTATGTAATGTTATCAAAACCAATTCTGAATTTGTAGCAATAATTAATTTTCCGAAAATAATAAGTTATGCGTGCGTTAGCCATAAATTTAATAGTCTAGGTTTTCAGATTACTTTTTTACAACTGATTTACTAATTCAGAACCCATGTTTAGTTCCGATGCGCTGTTGCCGAACCATACCTAATTTCATTAACACTTTGTACGTGATTTTCTGGAAAACGGTTGGTTTTAGGACCCATGTTGTAATAAACTTTTTTGCTTAGCTTGATATATTGAATCGCCCGGTAAAATTACGAGAGTCATTTCCCTAACACCCTGTATAGAAAAATCATTCGAGGATCTTTTTTAATTTAAGTCGTTCAAAAAATTTGAAAAATGAAACTTTGCTAAAATATATAACATATTGTAATAAAAATATTAGGTTGGTGAATATTGCTCTTTTAGACGTGGGAAGTAATATTTCACATAAAACTAAACTTCAGACAAACATCTACGATTTGAGAAAATATAGACAATTGTTAAGATCTCTTGATAATATTTATATGGCTGGCGGTTTATCTCACAATAAAAAAGTAACACCAAAACGAATCCAACGGATTCGGTGGGAAGAGGAGAAATCTGCCTTTTCGAGTAGAATTCGAAGCGGTTTAGTAATAAATAGTCTTCATACCGATCCACTGGTACTTTTAAAGGATTAATTTTTTATTTAAACCCAGAATTTTAAATAATTTAAAAAATGATTCAATCATTAAAGTCATTGCGTTGTTGTGCTGCGAATTTATTAAAGAAATTGTTGATGAGGATAAGCAAGTTAGACGCTAAATATTTTAATACGAAAAATAATTGAATTTATTTAGGTACGGATTTGTGGCAGTGGTATCGAGATAATATTAGTGACAAAATTATGAACAAGTTAATGGAATTTCATGAGGAGCAAAGTAACTAGGCTAAAGATAGTACTGCTTTGCCTACGCCGTTGTATGTTGTCTGTATCCCGCACATAGAAAACCAGATCGTATTAGTTCATATCCCGACTTTCATACTGTAATTTTATAGGAATAAATTTTCATGTGATTATAGAACGAATACCGAAATTTGAAAAATTAAATAATATTTCCATTAACATATTAAATTAAATGGGGAAATTTATTCCGTGATTCCCGCGTACATTTCAAAAGAAAAATTACTGACGCATGGAAAGCTTATGATCCAAAACAAATAATGCTCAGATAATGACGTTAATTATGGAAAAATAAAAAAACTTTGAAATTAAATATCATTTTACCTGGATTAAAGATCTTTCGAGATTACTTTCGAATCAGCTTACAGGAAATCACCATGCCATATTTATTTCTGATGTTTAAATTACTTTCGAAATCAATCACAATTAGATAAACATGCCTTGATGCCATGCCATGCCATGATAACCTGCTCCTTTTATTGCTTATTGCTAGTTTTGCTAAACCCGTTGGATGATATTAGCGGGAGTAAAACGGAGAGGTATCAAAAGCATGAAACATTTGCCGTGGGTTATTATTTAAATTCTAGTTATGATAAAAGTTACATAGGATTAGACTGCATGCAGTGGTTTGTAAGGGAACTTGAAAATATTGGAAAAAAGGTAAACCCGTTTGTGACCACTCACAGCTCGACGGAAGATTTAGGGGGTGAAGTCACTCTACTTGTAACTTGAATTATAAAAATACCTTCACTATTCCCGTAGTTTTTCACAATTTGACAGTCATGTGATGATTAAAGATGTAGCTCAACAAAAATACATATCTTTCACCAAAGATGTAATGAACCTGTTTTATTTTTGATTTTTATTATGTCTGGATTAAAAAATATTTCTTTTTATTTCGGATTATTTTACCCCGGCGGCGATTATTGATTTTTCTACATATATATCAAATATCCACTCGCGGGTCCGACCGGCCGATACCCCACTCTGACAAGCCGTTGGTCACGTGGAGGTCCCACCACGACTGGTGTCAATCCGGTGGGGATTTGGGCAACAAAAGTCCTCGACATTCCCCGAAACCGACAGTTCGTATCCAGAACTCAACACCGAATAGACGTCCACCGCCAGCAAGAACTCTCCACCGAAGCCAGCCCAGAATAACCAGTGAACCTAGTAAGAACTATTTTCCTTATTATTATCCGTTCCAACCGGGTACAAGTCCGAAAAGATTTGTACACTTTAAGTGTGGAATTACTGTGGGCCCGAGAAGAATATTCTTGGTAACCCACACACAAATTCCACCGTCCGTCTCAACCCGCACGACAGTGCAATCGTTGGATTCGGCGTGTTAAACCNTTCCATGCTTGTCCAGGGTCGACAACCTTCAAATTGTCAATTCAATGAAGTTAAAATTATCCAACCCATAACGACTCAAGTTGCCGCAAATCAAATTTTACTAATTCCACATCCACCAATGGCTACTGACATAAGATTCCAATGTAATACTAATGGAGCTGAGAGAAGAAGTTCCCCAACTTTAATCACCATTGATAACACGTGCAAAATCTGGATCGATGATGTCCCATTTTTAACATCCACCGACCCAACCACTTACGTAGGAGCAGGAATCCTACTACCACCCTTGCCCAGTCAAATGGACATTTCAAATAAGGCATCTCACGGGCTGCAGTTGAAGTCCATCCATTTTGAGGATATAAACAGGATTATTCAGTCCAGTCATCATTTGTC